TATATTTCTTCTTTTCTTTTATTTTATTTTTCTTTAAATAAAAGATCTTCCACTCGACCTTCATCACTTTAAAATTTACTACAGCTTGATAGTTTTTAGTAAATTTTATTACAATACTTATTACCTATTGGCACAGCAATATTGAGCTTTATGCTATACAACTATACCCAATACCTTCAATTACAACCAAATCATGCATTGGCTGCAATCTTAATTCCAATCTTATTATTAACAAATATACAATATTTATTTCTATTAATCTTGCAACTAAATTTATTAAAAAATTTAATATTCAAAATCAACAATTTAATTTCAATCCAAATTATCTTGATTTGTTCTATTCTATTACTATCTGACATTCTACTTAAATTTCTAATGCTGCTAATATCTATATACTTCCATTATTTATTCTATTTGTTTTCAATAATTGTGATCTTACCAACACTTTGCAATCAATTGTCAACTCAAACTATAACAAGTCTGAACTTCATTTTTATATTGATGAATCAGTCATTTAGGCAGGCACATCCCAATACTCAATAGAAATTGGATGAATCTTGATATAAAACAACAACATTTTACATACTTTTCAAACACAAACTAAGTTCTGGTTATGCTTTTTTAAAACAGAAATTATTATAATTCTTTTTGCTATTATTACTGTATTCAGAAACTATACAGTATACATCTATACTGACTCACAATCTGCTATATCTAAATACAACAGTACCAATTTAACATCACTCAAATTATTATTCATTAATACTTTATACTACTTATTTTGGTATACTCTAATTAATTTTATAAACTCTTATAATATACAACTTATTCTATATAAAGTAGTTGTACACCAGAATAATAAATTCAATAACCTTGGTGACAACTTTGTTCATAATCATTTTAATCTTTCATACCTACTATTTAATTCACAAAATTATTATAATCCTAACTATACACTACAACTTGATAACTACTCTATTGAACTACCTATTTGTCATTGTATCTGTACAATTTGTTATGCTCATATTTATACACTATGATCATCCCAATATTGATTTTAAAAATAGTTACAAATTGCAACTCAAACTAATTGGAAAGCTACCTGACTCTATATCAATAATAATCAAAAAATAACAAACTATTCTTACAACTTTTAAATATTTTAATTTAAGTTTTTCTGTATAAAAATTCTTATAAATAATTTTTCAACTCTACATAATCTATACAAACATAACCATATCCAATCTTCTAACTGTTAACAATGTAAGCAAATTAGTATTTCATTTCATTGAACTACTTGTTCATCTTCACATCTTCTTAATAATCTTATTGATAACTTACTTAAACATGTTCTTAATATATCTATTCTTGATACAACACCAAGAACTGTATTTGATTTATATAATTAAATTAAAAATCTTAATTGTATGCAAAACTATAATATATCAAATTTATTCTTTTTAACATCAACACTGTCTAGTTTAATTCCTTATGAATTAATTGATTCAATTAAAGACATTATTCTATCTAATAAAACTGTTACTATACTTTCAATTAAACTTCTGTTTTATTTTAACCAATAAATCTATACACATATCTGGATACCATATTATGTTTCTAGACCTCAACCTAGCAGACAATCTTAATCAACTTTAACATCTCATACTTCTCAAAACTTATTGACATAACATATATTACACTTAATTACTAGTCTTAAAATTGAAATATAATACTCTAAATAAATCAAATACTAAATAAACTCTCTCATTATAATTACAAACACTGAAATCTAGATGAGCCTTGACCACTTTGATAGGTTTAAATCACAGATAACTTGTCTAAGCCTCTAATCTTAATATTTTATAAATATAGAATTCAAATATAAATTTTTTTTATATATTCTACTTATAAAAAATTTAACTAAATTTTAATAAAAATAAAAGCATAACCTCACTGTTAATATTTAAAAAAAAAAAAAAAAACAATAAAATGCTCTTTTGATCTTATAAATTAAGATAATTCAACAATCAACAAAGTAATTTAAAACCTTGAAAATAATTGGTTTTAACATTTTTCTGAATATAGATTATTCAACTAAGTTTTTAAAAGCCACAATATATTAAATATAAAGCATACGTAAAATATGTATTATACGATTACATGCTTTGTTCTATAGTTAATATTTGGTTTTTTATACTGTCTATACTTTCCATTTGCGTATATTGCTTATTGATAATTGCCGGCTTTTTTAATTCGTTTATGTTAGTAAGCGATTTGGTTATAAAATTATTTATACATATAATTAAGTTTAAAGACATTGTTTTTTTATTGAGCTTAACCAGATTTTTCAGATCTAAAACTTCAAATAATATAAATTACTTCACCACTATACATAACCTTATTTAAATCCTCCATCTTCTTTAATGCTGCTTTAGCTTCTTCTGTGGTGAATCGTTGATCTTCCGGCAATTCGTTATTGATATCTTGGATTAAAGTAGCAAATAACCTTTGCCCATCAAAATCTGGCGAAGATGTCACACGATCAAGATGTTGTTCGAATAATTTTAACCTATACAAAACATTGCATACATAAAAAGGTTTAATATACTAACTAATTCTTAAATGTTGGGAATTATTTTGAACTCACCTCGATGGTGTTATTCCATCGTCGTTATCGCCGTCTTCGTTTAATGCGAGGGAGTCAAACCCGAGGACACTGTCAGATCTTACCGGTTCATCGGTTTCCATATGATTGTATGTAGGCGTATATGACGGTCCCGCCTCATTTGATGATAAATCAATATTATTGGAGGTTTCGGTCTTGTCGTAGCGTACGTTTTTGTGTCTGGGTAATATAAAGGCGTTAAAGGGTAAATATAATTTATGATGAAATACTCTAATAAAAATATCTATACTTTTGTCTTTCATTGACATCAATGTAACGTTCATCATTTTCGTCTTCATTATCGGCATTGTCATCATCATCGTCCTCATCATCATCGTCCTCGTCATCATCGTCCTTGTCATCATCTTCCTCGTCATCAGATATTCTACTATCAACCCTGCGCCTTTTATTTCTATCCTTGGGTTTGACTTCTTTAAATAGAGCAAATTTAATTATCGCTTCGGCAGCTTCGGCGTCATCTTTTCTTACCGTCTTTGCAAGACGTGCTTTAGCATGTGCAGTAGCAAGACGGAAAAATGAATCTAAAGCACGCGGCGTCATTGGTGATGTCTTAAAATAGGAGATTGGTATAGAAATTATTAAACTGAACAAAGTACATAAGATGTAATAATAAATAATTTGATAAAAGGTATAATTACTTTTGATTCTCCTCGATTAGTTTCAGCATTACGAAGCTCAACCCATGAGTTACAAATATAATCCGCAGCCTCTCTAGTCAATCTAGGCGTTGTACAATTTTTAGCATATTGAATATATTTTTGGAGAAATTCTGAAGAAAGAATTTCCGACTCCTCAGAATCAGGTACATCTTCTATTTGATTACTGTCAATATTTGATTGTGGATCGTCACGCTGGTAAATTGATGTTGGTGTTACTGTCTTATCAGCTTGTTCCATGGAAATGGTTTGCCCGGAACCATCCTTAATCGGTACACCTATAATATTAAAAATAATATAAGTCACGCATCATGCTTTCACGATATAAAAAAATATTATATCGTGCAAACCTTCTTCGAGATTACGTGGGCGATATTGATGCAGACGTAAAACGTGTTGTGAAATTTTACGATCTCGAATATCATTTATTTCATCTGTAACAACAAAAACAAGATCGAAACGAGATAATAACGAATCCGGAAGGGCGATATTATGTGCAGGATCTTTATGAACATCATACTATGATTAAAAATATGTGTTGAGACAATATAGAAAATAATAAACATAAAACATCTTAATTCAATTAATTCAAATCACCTGTCCATAAACAGGGTTAGCCGCAGCTATTACACTGCACCGAGCATTTAAGGATGTATGGATGCCAGCTTTGGAGATAGTTACAGTTTGTTGTTCCATTACTTCATGAATTGCAACACGATCAGTGTCATTCATTTTGTCAAATTCATCAATGCAAACGACACCGCGGTCACCAAGAACCATTGCGCCTGCGTCAAGACACCTTTCACCTGCATACAAACATAAATATAACCGCGAAATTAATGGAATGAGTACGAATTGTCAACTAATTATAAAGATTAATTACCGGTTTCTTTATCCCGCGAAACTGCAGCTGTCAAACCGACACCTGATGATCCACGACCTGTAGTTGCAATGGCTAGAGGTGCTATATTAAGTACACGTCGAAGAAGCTGAGATTTTGCCGTAGATGGATCTCCAACCATCAAAATGTTAATATCTCTGATTGTGATCGTTAAGAAATATATTGTAAAAATATTATCAGGACTATTATTCGACATAATGCTAATAAGTTTTTTTTGTCTTACCCTCGAATATGAGTCCCACTAGACAAGTTTTGCTCTTTGCCGCCTAATAACATAAGTAAAATTGCCTTTTTTATAATTTCATGTCCGTAAATTGATGGTGCTAAAGATCCCGCTAATAGTTCAAATACATCTTTAGTTTTCGAAATTTTTTTTATATTTTTAATATCTTCTTCTGTGACTATTTTTCGACCAATATCTCCCGACAAGATAGTGATATTTGTTGCAATAATGACGGTCCTATATAATCGTGATATAACCAGTGAAATAAAAACGTTGTTAAATAACAATTTAATTATAAATAACTCACTTAAAGGTCGCAGAAGTTGTGGCTTGATTTGGCTTGCCAATAGCTTTATAACAACCCGCTAATTGTATACGATCGCCAGGTTTCACTTTGTCGACTAAATCATCATCCAATATAATATCAATTGATCTAAGTAATTGACCAGTCTGAGCCTTTTCGGGCATTTCTTGAAGACATATGGTTTGATGATCTTTATATGTTGAATAGCCAAATTCAGTTGTCAGTGGATTACCATTCTCATCTTCTGTTGGATATCCTGATGCAGTTGGTAAGTAATTTCCAATAGTTGTGGAATCTTGATATTCTTTGTAATAAAAAACACCAGTTTTTTCACAAAAATGAACACTTTTTGACAACTTTAATCGAACAAGGGAGCCTACAGATTTTGAGGAAATTGAATAGTGTGAAAATAGAAAAATTAGTCACGGCTTTGTAACCACAAAACATTGAATGCATTTATTTGAGCTTATATAATACATCGCGAAACTATCCCCTCTACACAAATCAATTTTCCTAGATGTATAGATCTTAATGTTCCCGGATTAACATGATAACGAAAATTTCCCGTAAACCCAACATGTATATGTAAGTCTTCGATCTTGTTAATTATAGGATCATTTATGCTTAGAGAAACATCTTTGATCGCCTTTTCAAACGCGAGTATCCATTCATTAGGAGAATCTATAATTCTATGAATGTATTTGTTTTAATCGTGTAATAATTAATATAAATTATAGTCAAGATATAATTTAATTTACTTTTCCGAATTTTCATTATGATAATGGCGTAAATCATTTAAGCTAACAATTAATCGTTTTTCTCCATTTCGTAATAAACGTAATATTTCGTTTTTATATTTAATTTCGTAATCTTTGTCCTAAATTATTAATAAGTCAGAATAGAACGCGTGATAATATACACCAAAAATACGCGTTATTTTATACGCGAAAATACGCGTGAATATAAAATCGTACGTTAGCCTCCAGGAATTCTTTAAGAAATCGAGCGCGTTCATTGAACAAATCATCTTGTAGTCGAAGTTCTTTCGCGTTCGAAGTCATGTTAAGTTTACCGAACAGTTGAATAAACTAACATGAAAAGCACGAAATTATATGCTGTAAATTTAAAAAAAAAATTCATAAAAAAAAATCTGCAGAATAATTGGCTAATCTAATTCTCTGTGCCAAAATTTTTTGTTAATATACATATATGTTGACAAGGGTCAGGCAGACTTTCGTATGATTGGTTAATTTCTGTAGATCAACCCGTGATTTTCGTGATAATAAACCAATTAAAATGTTAAAAATCAGTTACATTTGAGAAATTTGTCTGGAAAATTAAATTGTATTTAGTATTTTTAAATAAAATAATAATTTATTAATGTTTTTTTTTTTTTTGGTATTAAGGTGAGGCCTTGCTCATATCTTTATTAGTAATTTTAGTTATATATATTAATATACT